ATGGCTCACCTGGCAGGATGCAGATGGAGCTAAAGGGGAGGTGCGACCCCTGGTGGCAGCAGGGCTATCCACCAACCTCATAGGACAAGATATTTTGGGGGATGCACAGTCCTGCATAACCACTGATAGGAAGGCCTTTTATGATGACCTTTTGGATCTTGAAGAGTCTGATAGGCTTCCTGAGTCAGCAACTCAAGGGTTGTCTCTCCATATCAATTACAGGGGGGACCCAAAGAAAGAGCATTGGGTTCACCCCCAATTCTAAGGGCCACTGCCCCTCAGGTTCCGGCTATCTGGTGGTCCACTGGGGTGCTGATATGGGTGGGGCAGTGGCCATTGCCTGAGACAAAGCTACAGGCTTTAAAGGAAATTGTGCAGGAACAATTACGGTTGAGCCACATCCAGCCTTCTGTAAGTCCATGGAACACACCTGTCTTTGTTATTAAGAAAGCCTCTGGTAAATGGAGAATGTTGCAAGATTTGCATAAAGTCAATGCTAGAATGACCCTAGTGGGTACACCCTTAAGGGGGCTGCCTTGGATCCCTGCCATTCCCTCATATTTGTTTCTTATAGTTATAGACATTAAAGATTGTTTTTGTTCTATCCCTCTACAACCCCAGGACTGTGAAAAATTTGCTTTCTCTGTACTTTCCACCAACTTTAAAATGCCTGATGAGAGGTATGAATGGACTGTTTTACCCCAAGGTATGGCCAATAGCCCAGCATTCTGCAAAAGCTATGTGAAGACCCTTTTGGGACCTGATCACTTGTTGCCACATGCCACTGTATACATTTATAAGGATGATATAATCTTGGGAGCTCCAAGTCCCCAACAATTAGAAGAGTTATACAGGTTACTCAGAAATGTCTACAGACAGGCAGACTCCATGTATCCACTGATAAAATACAGACTCTTACTCCCTTTAAAATTCTGGGAACCATACTCTCTTTGGAAGGAGCAACTCCTTTAAAACCACAACCAGCTGTCAAGCCCACCATAACCCTGACAGAGCTACAAACATTATTAGGAGAAATTAATTGGCTACGAGCCTGGATGCCTATTCCCACTGAGACTTTAAGACCACTGTTTCTGTTGCTAGTAGGGAAACAGCCTTCAGAACTAATTCACCTGGCTCCTCAACACCTGGACATCTTACATGAGGTCCAGGATGCCCTGGACCAAGCCCAACTTGCCTGGTATACGCCTAGTAAAGATCTTGAGTTATGGGTACTCCCTCGTGAGACCCTGATGACATCCGTCCTTACATAAGACAGGAAGCCCCTTCAATGGGTGCATGCCTCTCTGGGAGGTGTACCACAGGTTTATACACCCACGGATCAATTGGCTGACCTGATTGAGAAAGGACATGATGTAGCTCTGAGACATTATGGCATAGACCCTCTTAAAATTGTTATCCCTTATTGGCTTAGGGATTTTGGATGGCTCTGCAGAAATAATAACCGAGTGGCCATAGCCTTGGAAGGGTTCCTGGGAAATTTGGACTGTCATTATGGCTCTCATAAATGGGTGATCTCCTTTCATGCCCTCTGTTGGGATGCCCCATGGCTCTTTGTCAAGGAGCCGTTAGTAAAAGCCTATAATGTTTTCACTGACGGGGCAGATTTGGAGCTGTAGTGATAGTATACCCAGGGGCAGATGAGAAACCAAAAAGATATGTCCATGCTTGTGATGTCTCAGCTCAATTCAAGGAACTCATGGCCATTGCTTTAGCATTAAGAAAGATAATTGAGCCCATGAATTTGATTTCTGAGAGTCTATATGTAGTCAATCACCAAGGATTGCCTGGGCTTTTATCCCAAGGCAATGCAGAGGTAGCAGGTACCACTTCTGCGACAGCCAGGGGTAAACCCCAGGGGACTCAAGCCCAATTCCTTGTGGCAAATGGATGTCACACACTATGCTCCTTTTGGAAAGCTTAAGTATATTTTTGTGTCCGTCGACACATTATCACATGCCTGTTGGGCTACCACTCATATAGGAGAGAAGTCTAAATATGCTCAGTCTCATTTTCTCTGGTGCTTTGCTACATTGGGATTGCCCCCAACGAATTAAAACTGATAATGGACCATGTTTGTGAGTAAAAATTTACAAGATTTCTTTTCACTTTGGGGAATTCAACACAATACAGGAATTCCCTACAATCCCCAAGGTCAAGCCATTGTAGAACACAACCATCAAAACCTAAAAATCCAATTACAAAAACAAAAAGGGGGAATAAGCCCCCACCAACAGTTGGGTATGGCCTTATTCACTATTAATGTTCTTAATTTTCAAAAAA